TGGCCGTGCAATGGGTGCGAAATTATGTGGGCTTTTTCGGCGGAAATCCTCATAGGATTGTTGTGATGGGGCACAACACTGGCGCCAGCAGCGCCCTGCTGCTTTCCTTGACTAAAATTGCTAAAGGTTTTTTGAACTAAATAATCCTTGTTGAGCAGGTAATTTTTTTCTGGTTAATCCATAGGGTCTCCCAATGCAGTGGTGGCTATGTCAGGTTAGTGAGCGGAAGATTCCAGTGAAATAACTCGAATGATTGTTTCGATTATCATGCCAGGAACCGCAGTGTCGCATTGGGCCATCGACAGCAACCCCAGCAATACAGCGCATCAAATCGCCAAAGAAAACGGATGTCCAACAGTCAACTACCTGACGATGGTCAAATGCTTGCAGAAAGTCCCGGTCGAATCCATCATCAAGGTAACTCGAACCGACTCCTTAATACTGCAGCCTTTCCTTTGGTTCTTCAGGGAGACTCGCAGATCGAGTTCCAGCAAATCCAAGCCGAAGGCTTCACTTCCGGATTAAATGGCAGACTGGCAACGGCGCCGGTCACTGAAGGGCTGAACGATCGCCGATCGCTTCCAGGGTTGGTGGAAGTGGATCCAGTCGAAGCCCTGTACAAGCAGGAAAACCAAAAAATCCCTTTACTCACCGGGGTGACCAAGGATGAAACCAAACGCGCCGTTAGAGGTGAAATGTGTAGTTTTTGCCCGGTTTGTTCCAAATTAAACACTCTGTATATGATACGGGGCTCTTAACTGTTCAGTTTGAGGCAAATCAGTGCTAATTGGCTAATAATAGAGAGTTTTTGGGCCCCTTAAAATTACGTTGGCCTTAAACGCTAAACGTTATTCTGATCATGCGCAGTGCTAAAAAAACAAGGTGTTCAGGCAATTAACGTTAAGTGCGTTTTTCATCGCTACCGCTACTCGTACGTAAATAATAGAACACGTTATCCTCTAATAACGTAAACGGTTATTTCTTTACTGAAGCGCATGCTCAGAATAACGGATAACGTAAAACGTGTTGCAATTAAGGGGACTAAAAACTCCCTACTAGTGTTTCGCCTTATGGCCCTAATTTTCAATTAGCAGATTGCTGTTGAAAATTGAGCCGTTTAAGGCTAAAGTTGTGCCGAGCCCTTCGGGCTTCAAAATTTGCAATTTTTTCACGTTATGCCTGAAGATGAATTGAACCATTGCTCTGAATCTGCAAAAAACTACAATGGAAAAAAATCCAGGATTTTGTACAGCAAAATGCGCAAAATTTTGCTTGAAATTACAAAATTTTTGAAAATCAAATAATTTAAAATGCGAAAATTGTGAAAAATTCAAAACGTCCGATAAAATAAAAAATCGAAAAGAATATTTTTTCAGAATTTATCTTTTTCAGGTTGTACCATATGTACAAAATACGTGCCAAATTGGGTTTGTGTGTTTCGGATAAAATCTTCCGATCTGTTAGTAAGTAAGAGTACTTTCAGGAAGAAGTCAAATTTCGAAACATTTTCTCAAAAAATGGGCCGAAAATTAAAAAACTTTTAGTAGCTCGCGTGCTGAGTTTGAAAAAACGGTTATTGGGTACCTTGAAAGCTGCCGAAAGTTTCATAAAAATACATTTTTTCAAAATTGAAGAAACTTTCAGTAGCTGGCGTGCTGGGTTTGAAAAAATCGTTTGAGAAAATCGCAGAAAGTAAAAACAATAAAGACTTGGAAAAGCAGTTAGGTGTAACTTAAACAGACCGATATTTTATTAAGAGCGCCTTTTGCCGATTAGAAGCTTCGTTCGGGAGAGAAAAAATTAAAATGTGAAAATAGACTAAAATTCTAACGGTTTCAACTTGAATTTTTGACTCAAAACTAAAATTTAAATGTTTTCAACATTTATCCTTTTCCGGGCTTTCCATATCGACAAAAACGTTCCAAAGTGGGTTGATTTTGTTTCGGAAAAATTCCCCGGACGAGCTAAGGGAGAGCGATATAAATTTTTTGCAGAATCTTAGGGGGACTGAACATTAAAAATTCCATAAAACGCCCAAAACTGCACTAATTTCATTCATTTCCACCGAGATAACTGTTCTTGAACATCTGCATAGATTTAGTGCCAAACGAATCCAAAGCCGCTATGGGGAGATCGAAGTTTCCCATTTAAAATACATGAAATACGCGCAAAAAATTAAAATAAATGCACAGTTTTGGAAAAATTTCAACTTATTTCCAGCACTAATGATAGTTTGAGAAAAACTGTTTTCAAAAACTCGGTAGCTTAAATTAGCCTTTAATGGAGCTCCTGGAAAAATAATTTGATTTAGAATTTTTTTTCCTAAAATTGGCTGAAAAATCAAAAAACCTCCAGTAACTCACTAACTCCAGTAACTTTTTTATGAGCTTTTATTTCCTTTATCCAGTGGCCTTTTCAAAATTTATATACTTTTTTTCCTAGTTTGGGTTAGTTTGGGTTAGTTATTTGATTAAAATTTAATAAAGACACTTTTGAGCGGTTTTTTGAAATCTCTTCATAAGAAGGTTTTGCAAAAAATGTGATTGGTTGTCTTGTGACGCGCTGCATGTTTTAGGAAGAACAACATTTTGCAATAAAAAGCTTAATTTTGGAGAAAAAAAAATGCGAAAATTGCGAAAAATTGAAAACGTCCAATAAAATCAAAAATAATATTTTTCCAAATTTTTCTTTTCCAGGTCGTTCCATTTGTACAAAATACGTTCCAAATTGAGTTTGTGTGTTTGGGATAAAATCTTCCGATCTGTTAGTAAGGAAAGAAAGAGTCGAGAGAGAGGAAGAAGTCGAAAAGTTTTCTCAAAAAATGAGACAAAATTGAAAAAACTTTCAGTAGCTCCCGTGCTGGGTTTGAAAAAAACTGTTATTGGGTACCTTGAAAGCGGCCGGAAGATTTATAAAAATACATTTTTTCGATTGAAAGCTTCTTTTTCGAGAAAGAAAGTTTTCTTTAAAAATATGCCAAAATTCTCATGGTTTAATTGAACCCGATACATTTTTCAACTTTTTTCAACATTTATCCTGTTCAAGGTGGTCCATATCGAGAAAATACGTGCCAAATTGGGTTGGTTTGCTTTGAATAAAATCTTTGGATGCGCTAGTAGAGAAAAAAGTGTACTTTTCAAATTTCGAAAAATCCTCAAAAAATGATCCTTAAACCGACTTCAATTGCTCGTCTGCTGTTATATTTTTTATTCACTTTTACTGACTCTATCCAGCAGCAAGCTCAGAAGTTTTACATCGGTTCTAGTTTTCGTTATTTTGAGGATTTTTCAAAATTAGTTTTTGGCCGATTTTTCAAAATGGTTTGATCTAAGAGTTTTGCAAAACTTTTTGATTTGGATCCTTGAAACCCCCTGGACGTTTTAGAACAAATTAATTTTTTGGATTGAAATCTTGGTTTCTAATAAAAAAATAAAAATTCAGTTGTTTGAAGCTAAAGTTTTGCCGAGCCCTTCGGGCACGGCACTGTTTGAGAAGAAGACAGTATAAATGCTCTAATAAATAGCGTTTTGTTGTTTTACAGCCAGTGAGGTGCCCGAAGGGCTCAGCACAACTTCTGCATCAACAGATTGTTGGATCAGTCCTGATTATTCAGCAGTTTAGGCCTAAAGTTGTGTCGAGTCCTTCGGGAACGGCGCTGATTTATAAGACGAAAGTGAAAATTGAGATGAAGAAAGATTGAAGCAAAATAAACCAACAAAATTCAAAAAGGAAAGTAATAATAAAAAATTTCAGGTCAATTTAGAAAGAATATTCTGCAGCAACTTGACACAATTCCCAATTTTTTGGATCAAGTTCTAATCGAAAAACTCCAGAAAGGCCCATTGATCACCAAACTCAGTGGCCGACTTACCAACTTACGAAAACTGGTCAATAGTACGCATTCGTTAACTGCGAATATACAGGACGCCCTGTCGGGCTTGGACAGCGCTTTGCCCATCAATTTTAAAAATTACCTCAAAACTGATACCAGCGACGCAGCAGGAAATCTGAATAAAATTGCCGATGTCACTGGTAAGTTAAGCGTTAGTATTTAGAATCACCCTGTATATGCTCATCTTGAGGTGATGCGCTGTTTAATCTTCCGGCCTTTATGACTGCGCAGTACTGGAAAGGTGCGCCTTCGTATCTGTACAGTTTCGAGCACTCCGGTGGTCTGAATCGCGGGTTCAGCTTTCTGCAAGGATCGCCGTTGATTGGCAACGTTTCCATAGGTGAGTTCGGTTATCTTGAAATTTTTTCCTACATAGACACTTGTTTTAGATGCTGCCAACAACAGCGTGGGCCATGGCGATGAATTGGCCTATTTGTTCGATGCGCAGGACCTAGAAGGGAATCCATTGCCTGAAGGCGAAGCCACTGAAGATGACCTCAAGGTTCGAAACACGTTCATCAAATTGATTGCCGACTTTGCCCGGCATGGGAGCATCACAGTGGATGATGCAAATCTGCCCACTTTCAACGGGGGCGACAACAATTTCGTCCAAATCAAACCGAATCCGGTGCTGGCCAGCAATTTTAAGTACTGCGAAGTGGCGCTGTGGACCAAAATCGGCGAACGGTTGAAGAGCCGATACTGCCAGTTTTTAAAGCCGTTGGAAGTCGATGCTTCAGGCCAGAAGAACTTGGACCCCATTGTGCTTCCGCATTCGCAATTGAGCAGCAATACGAGTGTTTTGGGGGCGATTGCAAGCAACAAAAGGGCCAAAGCTCGCAACAACCTAGGCAATATTCTAGGCTAGCAGTTACATGGCTTCTTATAAGTTTTTTTTAAATAAAATACAATTTTTTAACATGTTTAGTCGAATTTTGCCTGCCAAGTTTGACAGTTGATCTAGAGCTAAGTGAAAAAATTACAACATTGGCAAGAATGACATAAAGTGCGCAGTTGCGCAGAGCCATATGCAAAATCTGATCATTGGTGGTGGGATCATAACTATGACAACCAATGCAACCCGAACAGAAGGTAACTCATGCAGAATGACGTTAGTGTGTCAAGTTGACGTTTAACTGCAATCTGCCATATGAGCTCAGTATAGATCGGCAAGTTCGAGGTGACATGGTGATTGAAAATAGTCCATCAAAATTCGAATTGTTGACCGATTTTGAAAGCGAAGAAACCCTTGGACGGGGAAGAAAATGAGCTTTCGAATGATGTTGGAGAAGTTTCATTCATTTAGGTTTGGAAGGAAAATTTATTGTTTTTTATTACCGATCGAGCGGTTTTTCTTTTTAATTTTTAGCAATTTTTTAGCGATCGAGCAATTTTCCACGTCAAAATCAAAATTTGCAATTTTCCCACGTTATGCCTGAAGATGGATGAATGCCAAAGAACGATTGGTCTGAATCTGCAAAGAACTACAATGGAAAAAATTTTGGATTTTCTGGATACAAATCCAAAAATAGCCAAAATTTTGCCTGGAATTATATAATTTTTAAAAATTACGTTTTTGCGATTTTCTCAGGAAGTAAAAGCAATAAAGACTTGAAAAAGCAGTATTAGGTGTAACTTAAACAGCCCGATATTTTAGTAAGAGCGTGTTTTGCCGATCAGAAGCTTCGTTCGGAAGAGAAAAAATTAAAATGTGAAAATAGACTAAAATTCTAACGGTTTCAACTTGAATTTTTGAGTCTAAATTAAAATTAAGATGTTTTCAACATTTATCCTTTCCCGGGCTTTCGATATCGACGAAAACGTTCCAAAGTGGGTTGATTTTGTTCCGGAAAAATTCCCCGGACGAGCTAAGGGAGAGCGATATAAATTTTTTGCAGAATCTTAGGGGGACTGAACATTAAAAATTCCATAAAACGCCCAAAACTGCACTAATTTCATTCATTTCCACCAAGATAACTGTTCTTGAACATCTGCATAGATTTAGTGCCAAACGAATCCCATGCCGCTATGGAGAGGTCGAAGTTTCCCATTTAAAATACATGAAATGCGCGTAAAAAATTAAAATAAATGCACAGTTTTGGAAAATTTTCAACTTATTTCCAGCACTAATGATAGTTTGAGAAAAAACTGTTTTCAAAAACTCGGTAGCTTAAATTAGAGTGTAATGTTTCTCCTGGAAAATTAATTTCACTTAGGAAAAAAATTTCCCAAATTGGTTGAAGAATCAAAAAACCTCCAGTAACTCACTAACTCCAGTAACTTTTTTATTAAGTTTTATTTCCTCTATTCAGCGGCCTTTTCAAAATGTATCTATCTTTTTTCCTAGTTTGAATATTTGATTAAAATTTAGTACACTTTTGAACGATTTTTCAAAATCTCTTCATAAGAGGGTTTTGCAAAAAATGTGATTGGTGGTGGCCTTGTGACGCGCTGCATGATGTAAGAAGAACATTTTGCAATAAAAATCTTGGTTTTGGAGAAAAAAATTAAAATGCGAGAATTGCGAAAAATTCAAAACGGCCAATAAAATCAAAAATACTGGTTTTTCAAAATTTATCTTTTTCAGGTAGTTCCATTTGGACAAAATACGTGCGAAATTGGGTTTGTGTGTTTCGGATAAAATCTTCGGATTTGTTAGTGAGGAAAGAAAGTCTACTTTCAGGAAAAAGTCAAATTTCGAAAAGTTTTCTCAAAAAATGGGCCGAAAATTAAAAATTTTTGTTAGCTCGCGTGCTGAGTTTGAAAAAACGGTTATTGGGTACCTTGAAAGCGACCGAAAGTTTCATAAAAATACATTTTTTCGATTGGAAGCTTCTTTTTCAATAAAAAATTTTTCTTTGAAAATTGGCAAAATTCTCATGGTTTAATTAAACTTTTTTATTAAAATTTTTCGGTTTTAAATTATTATCCTGTTCAAGGTGGTCCATAGCGAGAAAATACGTTCCAAGTTGGGTTGGCTTGCTTTGAATAAAATCTTTGGATGCGCTAGTGGACAAAGAAAGTGCACTTTTCAATGTCGAAAAGTCCTCAAAAAATGATCCTAAAATCAACTTCAATTGCTCGTTTGCTCGTTGACTTTAGGGCAAAAGCAAACACAATATTTTTTATTCACTTTTGCTGATTCCATCCAGTGGCGAGCTCACAATTTTTCCATCGGTTCTAGTTTTGGATATTTTGAGAATTTTTCAAAACTAGTTTTTGGCCGATTTTTCAAAATGGAGTGATCTAAAGGTTTTGCAAAGCTTTTTCATTTGGATCCGTGAACGTTTTTGATAAAAAAAATCTAAAATTTAGTCGTTTAAAATTGAGAAAAAATCCGCAGAGCTCGTAAAAATTTCGGTCAAAAAAGTTTATATTTTTTTTATTTCCTTTCTCAGGCTGTTCAATATGGTTAAAAGACGGGAAAATTTGGCCCAAAAAATCGTCAGAGGTACTGGGTTGGGAAGAAAAATCACTTTGTACAGGGTCTTAAGAGGGCCGAATCTTCAACCTTTTATACTCTCACACATTTCCACAAAGATGACTGGTCTTGAACGGTTTTGCAGATTATTACCGCTTTACTAGTCAAATGGCACCGTAGGGAGCAGATTTTTGGGAAATTCAAATGTCCGAAGAAAGGTTTTCCGAGAAAAAAAGGGAAAATGAAAAACCTTCAATATCTCGTTTGCTATTCTTCTGTTTTGGTGTTGGATATTTTGAGGATTTTTTGCAAATCAGTTTTTGGGCGGTTTTTCAAAATGGGTTTATCGAAGCGTTTTGCAAAAAGTGTTTCCCGATACCTTGAACTCAGCTGAAGGTTTCCTAAGGAATATATTTTTCCGGTTGCAAACCTTGTTGTCGAGACAAAAAATAAAATGTGAAAATTGAGGCAAATTCCAACGGCCTGAGCCAGATAAAATTTTCGGCTAGAATCCAAAAAACCGCATTTTCGGAAATTCCTCTTTGCCTGGCGTTCCATATGGGCAAAACACATGCAAAAGTTAGTTGGTTGGTTTCGCAAAAAAATTGCCAAACAGGGAAGAAGCGAACACTTTTGTACAGATTTATGGGGCCAGAATAGTGAAAATCCAAATAAAATGTCCAAATGACTTCAATGACTTTACTGCAAACCAATGCGAATTTGGCCGAATTGAGATTAAAAGAAGACACTTTCCGATTTAAGCCCCATTTTGTGGAAAATTTGGACCAATTTGGGTTTAAATGCAACCAAAATTTAATTTATCCTTCAATACATTCTGGTCGAAAATTTTGCTGTGTGGCTTTCAAAACTTTAAAGCTAAATCTATTAGGAACCTGGAAAAAAATTATCGACTCAATCGAGCAGATCGCAAATGACCTACATAGGGTTTTCCATTAGGGAAAAGTGCGGACGCGTGCGCCTTTAAGGAAAACATCCCCTGTGGCGAGAAAATTCGATTCTCCAACAGATGTTTACGTTCTGAATCAAGGTTAAGTGGCGTTTCGAGTGAAAACAGCAAGTTTTCCACAACTATCGAGCAAATGTTTCCCGTGGACAGCGAATGGCGCTTAAGGGCTGAAAGCGAATTGAACGAAACCCCCGAACGATATGCGCTAGAAATGAAAACTCTCACTAATCTGGTTTCGAGTAAGTAGCCCTTAAAGGCATCGAATGTTTTAATTATGCAAAACATTCGGCTAGATGACCCGAATCTGACGGTTCCCAACAACAACGAGTTTCTGCTGAGGTTTCTGAGGGCCAGAAAGTTCCATAGCAGCAAAGCGTTTCAAATGGTTAGTTGCACAAGTGTTTTTTTACAGAACTTTTCAATGTGATTTATGGCCTATTTTATTTGGAACACCCTCTAGGTTTCTACGAAGATCTGCTGTGAAAAAGGAAATTTATTTTTTGTCTTTCAACGTAAAAATCTTAAATTAAGCTAAAAATTCTCATCAAATTAAGCCATAAATTCCAGTTGAGTGCTGAAGAGCAACTGGACTAAATATTTCTCTCTATGCCCTTCCAAATTAATAAAAAATCCAACAGTCGTTTTGAAGGACAAATTTATAACAATCTAAAAAATTTAAACACGTTTTCAAAACCCCATAAAATGTTTATATTCCCGATGTTTCCTGTTGTTTAAGCTATCAATCCAGAATAATAAATATGTATGGGTGATTATTGGATCTGAGCAAGAATTTTCCGTAAAATCGCACTAAATCCTAGTGTTTTTTGGGTGTTTAAAACGGGCATAAAAATGAACGATTCCAGTCATAAGCACGATTTCGCAAAAAAATTGGTTATTTCCAATCTGTGGACGAGCAAACTTGTCAATTTCCTAGGATATGGGAAACAGTCCAATCAGCAAACGCAAAAATTTTCACTAAAATCGGAAAAAGTCTTGTCTTTTTTTGGGCTGTTTAAACACGGGTGTAAAAATGAACAATTCTAGCCAAAAACGCGCTCTCTCGCAAAAAATCGTAATTTTTAATGTAGGGCAAGGACAAAGTTGTAAGTTTTTCAGCATATAGCAAACGCTTGGGGCTGAGAATGGGAAAAATGTTATTGAAGTCGCAGCATACCCTGATTTATTCCTGCAGTTTAAACGCGGCTCTGAAGATTAACGTTTTCAGCCAGAAGCGGCGCAAAAAACATTCTAACTACACAGGGGCCAACTACAAACTTGAACTCAGAACCGAAATTTTTTTCTTTTGCTTAACTCCCGACCTAAAAATAAAACTACAACCAACGTAAAGACTTACAGACTTCGCAGCATACAGCAGACAGTTGCGTTAGGGAATGGGAAAATTTTCGTTGAAATTTCGTAAAATTCTGATTTATTTTGGCGGCTTGAACGCGGAGGTAAAAATAAACCATTAAAAGAAAAACAGGGTCTCCTAAAAAATGGTAATTTCCAATCTGGGTCAAGGACAAACTGGCAAATTTTGCAGCAATTAAAAGACAATTGAGTGAGAGAACGAACAAATTTTGATTTAAATGGCATAAAATGCAGATTTTTGGCTATTTACACGGGGCTCTAAAAATGAACATTTCTTGTCAAAAGCGCACTCTCCCGAAAAAAATTCGTAATTTCTAATCTAAAGCAAGGACAAATTTGCAAATTTTGCACCAACGAACAGACATCCAATGAAGAGAAGGGAGAAATTTTCATTGAAATGGCAGGAAGATCCAATTTTTGTCGGCTGTTTAAACGCGGCTCTAAAAAAGAGAAAAGAAAATTTTCATCAAAAGCAAAAAAATTCCAAATTTCTAATCTAAGGCAAAAATATAGTTGCAAATTTTGCAATATAGTCCCAGACACGCAAGTCGCAGAATGATAGGAAATTTCAGTAAAATAGCATAAAATCTGGAATTTGTTCTGCTGCTTAAACGCGACTAAAAAATGATCGATTTTTCCCGAAACACGCTCTTCAAAATACTATGGTAATTTCGAACTTGGGTCAAGGACAAACTGGAAAATTTTGCAAGATATAGCCGACACTTGATTTAGAAAACGGAGCAAGTTTTATTGAAAGCCCATAAAATCTAGATTTTTGCCGGCTGATTAAACGCGGATCTGAAAATTAACGATTCTAACAAAAACGCGTTCTCTAAAAAAACTTGGTGATTTCCAGTCTGGCACAAGAACAAGTTGGGAAATTTTGCAAGATATAGCCAACACTTGAGCTAGAGAACGGAGAAATTTCCATTGAAATCGCGTGAAATATCGATTTTTTCGACTGTTTAAACGCGGCTAGAAAAATGAACATTTAATGTTAAAATTGCACTCTCCCAAAAAAATGTTATTTCCAATCTAAGGCAAGGACAAATTTGCAAATTTTGGCAAAACAGGCAAGTGGGAATCGAGAAATGTTAATTGAAAACGCATTAAATCCTGATGTTTCCTGCTGCTTGAACGCGGATCTAAAAATGAACGATTTCATCCATAAGTGCGCTCTCAAAAAAAAGTTGCTGATTTTCAATCTGGGTTAAGGAAAATATCGCAATTTGTAGCCAAAACTTTAATTAGAGAAGGAAAGAATTGTCATTGAAATCGGATGAAATTCCGATTTTTGTTGGCAATTGAAACAGGGCTCTTAAAAATTTAGATTTTTTGTCAAAAGCGCAATCTCCCGAAAAAAAATCACACTTTCCAATCTGATGCAAGAACAAATTTGCAATTTTGCAGGCTATAGCTGACAGGCAAGTCGGAAACTGGAGGAAATTTTATTGAAAACCCAGAAAATGCTGATTTTTTGTAGTACTTAAACCCGGCTCTTAAAAATTAACGATTCCATCCAAAAGCGCGCTCTCCAACAAAAATTGGTAATTTCCAGGTTGGGTCCAAGACAAACTGGAAAATTCCGCTTTGTATAGCCGACTCTTGAATGTGCCTAGAAAATTTAGAGATGTCATTGAAATCGCATGAAATTCCGATTTTTGTTGTCAAATGAAACAAAGCTTTTAAAAATTTAGATTTTTTGTCAGAAGCGCACTTTCCCGAAAAAAATAATACTTTTCAATCCGATGCAAAAACAAATTTGCAAATTTTGCAGGATATAGCTGACAGGCAAGTGGGAAACTGAAGGAAATTTTACTGAAAACGCAGAAAATCCTGATTTTTTGTGCTACTTAAACCCGGCTGGAAAAATGAGCAATTCCATCCAAAAGCGGGCTCTCCAACAAAAATTGGTACTTTCCAAGTTGGGTCAAGGACAAACTGGAAAATTTGGCAAGATATAGCAGACACTTGAGTTATAAACGGGAGAAATTTACATTGAAGTCACATGAAATGTCGATATTTGTCGGCTATCTAAACACGACTCTAAAAATGAAAGAATCTAACCAAAAGCGCGCTCTCCAAAAAAATCGTAGTTGTGGAGCAAGAACAAATTTGGAAATTTTGCAGCATATAGCAGACGGTTACGTCGGACAATGCAGGAAATTGCATTGAAAACGCATAAAATTCTGATTTTTCCATGCCATTTAAACGCGGCCCTAAAAAATAATTATTTTGAAATGCGAAATTCGTATATTCCAGTTATGGTCAAGGGCACACTGGCAAACTTTGCGAAATATAACCCACACGTGAGTTAGATAATATAAGAATTTGCAAAAAAGCGAATCAAATCCTGAATTTTTTCTCCTGCTTAAAGGCGGCTCTAACAATAAACAATTCTATTAAAAAGCGCGCTCCCCAAAAAAAATTGGTAATTTTAGTCTCGGGCAAGCACAGACTGGAAACACTTCATCTGGAAAATGGACAAATTATAATTAAGATCGAATTAAATCCCGATTTTTGTCGGCTATTTAAACGGGGCTCTAAAAATGAACATTTCCGGTCAAAAGCGCATTCCAACAAAAAAAATCGTAAGTTCTAATCTAGAAATAGAACTACTTTGAAAATTTTTCACGATAGAGCAGACGCGCAAACCAGTGAATCTAGTAAATTTTATTAAAAACTCATAAAATGCTGATTTTTTCCTGCTACTGAAACGGGCCAATAAAAATGAACGATTCTATCCAAAAGCGCGTTCTTCATAAAAATTGGAATTTCTAACCAGGCATAAAGACCAGATGGAAAATATCCCTGGATATAGCCGACACTTGACTCAGAAAACTGAATTTTTTTCTTTAAAATTGTATGACATTCCGATTTTTGTTAGCTATTTAAACGCAGGTATAAAAATGAAGATTTCTTTTCAAAAGCGCATTCTGAGAAAAAAAATTCGTAAGTTCCAATCTGGAGTAAGCACAAATTTGCAAATTTTGCAGGATATATCAGACAGGCAAGGGGGAATCGAGAAATGTTAATTGAAAACGCATTATATCCTGATGTTTCCTGCTGCTTGAACGCGGATCTAAGAATGAACGATTTCATCCAAAAGTGCGCTTTCAAAAAAAATTGGTGATTTTCAATTTGTGCTAAGGACAAACTAGAAAATATCGCAATTTGTAGCCAAAACTTTAAAGGGCAATCTCCCGAAAAAATCACACTTTCCAATCTGATGCAAGAACAAATTTGCAAATTTGCAGGCTATAGCTGACAGGCAAGTCGGAAAATGGAGGAAATTTTATTGAAAACGCAGACAATCCTGATTTTTTGTAGTACTTAAACTCGGCTCTTAAAAATTCACGATTCCATCCAAAAGCGCGCTCTCCAAGTATCCGAAAAAAATCATACTTTCCAATCCGATGCAAAAACAGATTTGCAAATTTTGCAGGATATAGCTGACAGGCAAGTGGGAAACTGAAGGAAATTTTACTGAAAAAGCAGAAAATCCTGATTTTTTGTGCTGCTTAAAACTTTCCAAGCTGGGTCAAGGACAAACTGGAAAATTTGGCATGATATAGCAGATACTTGAGTTATAAACGGGAGAAATTTACATTGAAGTCACATGAAATCTCGATATTTGTCGGCTATCTAAACACGACTCTAAATATGAAAGATTCTAACCAAAAGCGCGCTCTCCAAAAAAATCGTAGTTGTAGAGCAAGAACAAATTTGGAAATTTTGCAGGATATAACAGAGGGTTAAAACGGAAAATGCAGGAAATTGCATTGAAAAGGCATAAAATTCTGATTTTCCTATGCTACTTAAACGCGACCCTAAAAGTGAATGATTCCGAAATGCGAAATTCGTATATTCCAGTTGTGGTCAAGGGCAAACTTTGCAAAATATAGCCGACACGTGAGTTAGAGAATATAAGAATTTGCAAAAAAATGCATCAAATCCTGAATTTTTTGTTCTGCTTAAAGGCGGCTCTATCAATGAACAATTCTAATAAAAAGCGCACTCTCCAAAAAAAATAGGTAATTTTAGTCTCGGGCAAGCACAGACTGGGAAATCTTGCAAGATATAGCCGACACTTGTGTTGGAGAATGGGGAAATTTTCATTGAAATCTCGTGAAACACCTATTTTTGTCGGCTTCCCAAAGGGGCCTATAAAAATGAACGATTCAATCCAAAAGCGTGCAAAAAATATAAATGTCTAAATAACAAAAAGAAAAATTTTCAACTTTTGCAGGACATTTAAAACCTATAAAATGTTTCATAGTTTTTAAATGACTTTTTCCTGCTACTCAAACCGGCCTATAAAGATGAACGATTCCATCCAAAAGCGCGCTCTCCAAAAAAATTGGTTATTTCCAACCCGGCTCAAGAACAAACTGAAAAATTTTCCAGGATATAGCTGACACTTGACTTGACTTAGAAAATAGAAAATTTTTCATTAAAGAGGCGTGAAATCCCGGTTTTTGTTAGCTATTTAAACGCGGCACTCAAAATTAACATCTTCCCGCAAAAGCGCACCTTCTGAAAAAAAATTGGTAATTTCTAATTTGGGTCAAGGACAAACCGGAAAGCTCTGCAGCAGAAAGCCGACACTTGAGCCAACGAACGGACAAAATTTCATTGAAATCACATTAAATGCCGATTTTTGTCGGTCGTTCGTTTAACGGGGCACTAAAAATGTTGTGAAATTTTTGTCATAAGCGCACTCTCCCGAAAAAAATCGTAATTTCCAACCTAGAGCAACGACAAAATTGCAAATTGCGCAGGATACAGAAGACAATAATTCGTTCATTGAAAACGCACAACACATTTGATTTTCCCTGCTACTTAAATGTGGTTCAAAAAATGGACATCAGCTGAAAGCGCTGTCTCCAAAAAAATTGGGAATTTCGAATGGGGGTTAAGGACAAACTGGAAAATATCACAGGATATAACCCCCACTTGATCTAGAAAATGGACAAATTATAATTAAAATCGCATGAAATCCCGATTTTTGTCGGCTATTTAAACGGGCTCTAAAAATGAACATTTCCAGTCAAAAGCGCATTTCCCCAAAAAAGTTCTAATCTAGAAAAAGAACTACTTTGAAAATTATTCATGATATAGCAGACGCGGAAACCAGAGAATCTATGAAATTTCAATAAAAACTCATAAAATGCTGATTTTTTCCTGCTACTAAAACGGGCCAATAAAATTTATTTCTATTTCTATTTAAACCCGGCAGTAAAAATGAACATCCGTCAAAATCGCACCCTCTTAAAAAAAATCGTAATTTAAAATCAGGGCCAGGGACAAACCCGCAAAATCTGCACTACAAAGCCGACACGTGAGTTAATGAACGAACAAATTTTCATTTAAATCGCATTAAATGCCGATTTTTGTCGGTTGTTCGTTTAACGAGCCACTAAACATTAAAATTTCTTGTCATAAGCGCACTCTCCCAAAAAAATTGTAATTTCCAATCCAGAGCAACTACAAATTTGAAAATTTCGCAGGATACAGAAAACAGTAATTTCGGAAAATTGAGTAAATTTCATCAAAAACCCACAAAATACTGATTTTTCCGGCTAATTAAACGTGGTTCTAAAAATGGATGACATCAACCAAAAGCTCCGCTTCAAAAAAATTATGAATTTCCAACAGGGGTTAAGCACAAACTGTGAAATATCACAGGATATAACCAACACTTCAATTGTAAAATGGACAAATTATCATTGAAATCGCATTAAATCCCGGTTTTTGTCGGCTATTTAAACGGAGCTCTAAAAATGAACATTTCTTGTGAAAAGTGCATTCTCCCAAAAAAAATTGTAAGTTCCAATCTAGAACAAGAACAGATTTGAAAATTTTACACCATATAGCAGAGGTACAAATCGGAGAATGTAGGGAATTTCATTAAAAACTAATAAAATGCTGATTTTTTCCTGCTACTGAAACGGGCCAATAAAAGTGAACAATTCCATCCAAAAGTGCGTTCTTCATAAAAATTTCCAACCCGGCATAAAAACAAGATGGAAAATGTCCCTGGATATAGCCGACACTTGACTCAGAAAACTGAAATTTTTTCTTTAAAATTGCATGAAACTCCGATTTTTGTTAGCTATTTAAACGCAGCTCTAAAAATGAAGATTTCTTGTCAAAAGGGCATTCTCGGAAAAAAAATTCGTAAGTTCCAATCTGGAGCAAGAACAAAGTTGCAAATTTTGCAGGATATAGTAGACAGCTGGCTTAGGCAGTGCAGGAAATTTCATTGAAAACGCATAAAATCCCGATGTTTTCCTGCTGCTTTATCATGGCTTTAAAAAGGAACGATTCAAGTCAAAAGCGCGCTCTCCAAAAAATTGGCAATTTCCAATCTGGGACAGGAACAAACTTGGACATTTTGCAGAATAAATATTCATATGTAATATATGAAAATATAAACATACCTACATCTAATTTAAATTTCACCAAAATTATTTTTTACAATGAGAGTTAGACCAAAGTGGGAGCGATTTTTACACATTTGTATTAACCTCTTAATTCATACACTCTTTTGAAGATGGTCGAAGCATCCGAAAGTTTCCTAAATTAATTTATTTACTAACTGGAAAGTTTCTCTTACAGCTTGAGCCCAAGTGAGTTTTTATGCATAACCGCTATTAATTATCTTTCGATAAGGATTTCGTTCTTTATGGTGAAAGATGCGCACTCTTCATTAATATGTATCAGCACTAGTTAATTAGAGGTTTTTTTCAGCTGCAAAGATACTACATAATGAAGCTAAAATTCCCCGAGCTGTTCAGTTGCCCGCTGCCGTCCGAATGTGGCAAAACTTTCGATCTGCAGGCGCAAAACATGCTGCAGCATCGAGACCGTTTGGGCCGCAGAATTTACATGATTCGAGTCGGTAATTATCAGAGAAAATACTCAAATTTCACCAGTAAATCCGGGGATTTTCAGACAGTTTTGACTCCTCCAAAGCGACGATTGAGGACATTTTCAAGACAAACGTGCTGGCGTTGGAGCAAATAGTGCGAGAGCCGGAAACTCAAATCGCCGGAATCGTTGTTATTCTTGACATGGCCGGTCTCTCCTTGCAGCATGCGAAGTTCTTCACTCCTTATTATGCGAAACGAATGGTCGAGCTGGTTCAAGAGACGTTTCCTCTGCGATTCAAGGGCTTTCATGTGGTTAATGAGCCTTTTTACTTTGACGCGGTCATGGCCGTGCTCAAGCCTTTTCTCAAGGAGAAAATCAAAAAAAGGGTAAGAAATGCTGTGTTTTGTTCCCAAGCAGTTGCCCATAGTCGTGTAAAAAATGAAGAAGTTGAACATTTTTCCAGATTTACTTGCATGGCAGCGACATTGAAGGTCTTCACGCTTTTGTGCCTAGCGATGTTCTCCCGTCGGAATACGGAGGAGAAACCGGACCTTTTGATAACAGAGGCTGGTACATGAAGCTCTTGGCCAATGAGGACTATTTCAAAAACCTGGAATCTTTCGGCTACAAACAAGATTCGGCTTAGAATGTAACTTGGCTTTTCGCTGGTTAAAAGCTGCTTTTTGACTCAGTTGTTATGGATTGTGCAGCCGAGGGCGAAAATTTTAAGCGTTTAGGTTGTGAATTGAAATCAACCGAATAGCAATTTTAGACGACTTTGACATTTTTTCTTTACTGTTTCGGTTGTGAATTTGGGGCGACTTTGGGCGATTGAACTGTGAATTCAACATTTTTCAGGATGTTTAGAATGTGATTTTGCAACTTTGTTCCTCGTCTAGACTGGAAACTTGACGCAACCAAATCGAACCCCACATAACCTTTAGGCGTCTTTGCTAACTGTTTAGACTGTGGGTTT